GACAAGGATGCCCCTTATAACTGCTACTATTCAACACTGTATTGGAGGTCCTAGCCAGGGCAATATGGTGGGGGGGAAGGCACCCAAATTGGTAAAGAAGAAGTAAAACTATCCCTATTTGCTGATGATGTGATCCTATACATAGAAAACCCAAGAGACTCAGCAAGAAAACTATTGGAACTAACTGAGAGATTTAGCATAGTGGCAGGATACAAGATCAACATCCAAAAATCAATCAGATTCCTCTAGATCAACAAAGAGATCTCTGAAAAGGAAATAAGGAAAACAATACCATTTACAAAAGCTACCAAAAAGATAAAATACTTAGGAATAAATCTTACCAGGGACACAAAAGACCTGAAAATAAAATAAAATAAAAAACTACAAAACATTACTTCATGAAACTATAAGAGATCTACATAAATGGAAGAACATACTTTGCTCATGTACAGGAAGACTGAACACTGTGAAAGTGTCAATACGACCCAAAGCCATCTATACATTCAATGCAATCCCAAACTAGACTCCATCAGCATTCCTTAAGGACATAGAAAAAACAATCACTAGTTTTATATAGAAAGGAAAAAGACCTCAGATAAGCAAAGCACTACTGAAGAAGAAGAAGAAAGTAGGAAGTCACATACTCCCTAATCTTAAAAGCTACCATACAGCCATGATAATCAAAACATCCTGATATTGGACAATGACAGACAGTCACAGAGACCAGAGGAACAGAATTGAGAACCCAGAAATAGATCTATCCACTTGCGGATAACTGATCTTGACAAAGGGATGAAACCCATTAAATGGGGAAGAGATCGTCTCATTAACAAACACGGTGCTGGCAAAATTGGAGATCTAGCTGCAAAAAAATGAAACAAGATCTACCTCTCACACCATCTACAAAAACCTAATTCAAGATGGATCAAAGACCTAAATATAAAACCTAAAACCATAAAGAATATTAAAGAACAAATAGAGACAAACTTAGAGGCTCTATTTTATGGCACAGACTATCAAACATAACCAAAAATGCAAAAACAGCAGAAGATAAACTAGGTGACTTGGACTTTCTAAAAATTAAAGTCATTTGTACATCAACAGACTTCTCCAAAAGAGTAAAAAGAACTTACAGACTTGGAAAAAATCTTGGGCAATGACATATTTGACAAGGGACTTACTTCTAAAATTTATAGAAAACTTCAACACCTCAACATCAAAAAGACAAAGAATCCAATTAAAAAATGGGCAGAAGACATGAATAAACACTTCACCAAAGAAGATATTCAGGCAGCCAGCAAATGTATGAAGAAATGCTCATGGATCATTAGCCATCCAGATAGATTAATCAAAACAATGATACCATCTCACGTAGCACTAATAGCAAAGTTCAACAAGACAAAAAACAATAAATGAATAAATGCTGGTGAGGGTGTGGAGAGACTGGAACTCTCATACACTGCTGGTGGGACTGTAAAATCATGAAACCACTGTGGAAGACGGTACGGTACTTCCTTAAAAAGTTGGAAATAGAAATATCATTTGATCCAGGAATCAATCCCATTACTAGATGCTAAAAGGGCATCTCCTTATCTCCTCTAACCCTACAAGAGGAAGACAGGATCACCATCAGTAACCCAAGGCCTATTCCTGTAAAGCCAGACATGCTGCCTCCCTCCAGCCCTTACACCAACCGTTCCTCCTGCAGCATCCAAAGCCTAAATTCTGGGTCCGATAATTCACTGCAGTGGCCACACAGAACTCACAGATTATGGAGTTTATTACAGAGGCACCAGGCTACAACTCAAGTTCAGGAACAACATTCAGTCTCTCTCCCAGCCCACCGTCTCTCACCCAAAAGTCTCTCTCAGTCTCTCCCAGCAATGCATGTCTCTCGGTGTCTCTTTCTCTCAGCAACATGTCTTCCTCAGCCAGAGGTCAGAGATAGACTTCTGCCTCTAGGAGGCCTCCTTTTGAGCCAGGCAGAATGGCCAAATTAACCAATCATAACAGAATTCTAAGCACCTGAGAAGGCAAACTTTCCAGAACATTACTTTGTGCTGCTCGCAACAGAAATACCCCAGGTGGATGATTTTACAATCAGGAATTCCTCAGTTGCTCACGGCAAATTCCACCACTGAGTTTACAAAGACTTATGGCTGGAAAAGCCACACCAGGTAATTTACTGCACTGCACTAGGTATGTACCCTAAAGAAGTGAGAGCTGACACACAAACAGATACAGGCACACCCATGTTCATCACAGCACTAGTCACAGTAGCCAAGAGATGGGAACAACCTAAGTGCCCACCAACAGGGGAGCAGAAAAACTGTGGTACATACACACAGTGGAATACTAAGCACCACTAGAGAACAATGAGAAATGCAAAACACTGTGTAACGTGGATGAACTTGGAGGACATTATGCTGAGTGAAATAAGTCAATCACAGGACAAACACTGTATGAGTCCACATTATAAAAAGTCAAGGAAATGTTTACATATGGAAAGACACACTCTGACAGCTACCAGGGATAGGAGGGGAGGGGAGAGGAAATTGCTAGCTAAGTAGGAGACACATACTGGTTTGGGTGAAGCGAGGTAATATACCAGCAGCAGGTGAGCAACACAGTAAGACTAAGGAACATGAAAGCACAGAGGGTGTAACAGAGTGACGAAGAGGTAAACACCACGATACACAGAAGCTGTATCATTTGTAGTAACACACACTAATGCACCAGTGGATACATGGGAGACAGGCAAGATGATCAAGTACTGGCAGGCAAGCGGGACTACACCCGTGACCCACTTCCTGCTTCCTGCAAGACTAGGGGAGAGCACCATATGTAGGTTTAGCAGACGCTATTTCTACATATGTATCGGTATGTGCTATAAAAATGGCTACAGTATAATAGAAGCAGTTCTGGTGGCATGGTGCCTAAGGCATGTGACTGCTAATCAGAAGGCTGGTGGTTCAAACCCACCAGCTACTCCTCAGAAGGTTGGGCCATCTACTTCCATAATGATACTGCCACGGAAACCCAAGAGGTTTGGCAGACGCTATCTCTATATATGTATCTATATGCACTATAAAAAATGTCTACATTATGATAGAGCTAACAGGGCAAAGCGACAGTAACCTCCTAGTCACAACCAAACACCCTGCGGGACTTAAATCATGAAGCCTGTGGGCCTGGGACAATGGCCATGGGCATATCAACCTCAACTGGCATAAACAGCATACAAACAACACCCTACATCCGACCGGGGTCTTCAAAGCTTGCGAGGGTCATCTAAGATGCAACCATTAGTCTCTCTTCATCCAGAGCAAAGACGAATAAAGGAAATCAGAGTCACATGGAAACAATTAGTCTGGGGGCTAGTGGACCATGGGAATGTTGGCCTATACTACTCTTGAAAGCAGAAGAACTAGATGGTGCCTGGCTACCACTGTCAACCACTAAGAAAGGGATCAAAAATGGAGATACTGGCTAGAGTGGGAGAAAAATGTGGAAGAAAACTCAAAAGCATAAAAAGGCCAGACTTACTTTACTGGTCTGATAGGGACTAGTGGAACTCCCAAGACTAGGGTACCTAGTCATCCTTCAGGCCTGAAATTAAACTTAACTCCTGAGTCTCACCTTTCAGCAAAACAACAGCCAGACTGGTGAGTGCATCTGTCTCTACAAGACACCAGGCAAGTCACCAGGTACAACTCTTTCATTACCCGAGTGCTCACTGAGACCTGCACTCTTACAAAGCAGGAAACCGTCTGCCTCGCGATTCCTGCAAGGCTGGGGGAGAGCACCAAGTGGACCACTGAGCAGGGACTGCATTCCGCATGCCTGAACATTCTGGAAGCCGCTCTTGCCAGCATGGACAAGGGAGCTGGGGTCTCCTGCCCTGTGCAGGTTGCGAACGACTTCCATTCGGTGGACAACCCAGCAGTTATCTAACCTTCTCCTGCAGTGAGTGGACAACCCAGTAGTTGTCTCACCTCCTCCAGGAAGCGGGCTCTGTGTACCCTGCTCAGAACGCCTGCAGCTCTTCCAGTGTGCTTCCTTGTCCACTTTCTGCCACCTTCCTGATGAGACCAGGGTCCCGTGGGGGCAGGGGTGCTGTTCTGTTTCTCTAGACAACCACTCTGTCCCCTCTGCTTCCTCGGGGCCAAGCACTCGCACTGCACTCTTCTCGGGTGAGCACTGAGACACAGGAGCTGGGAGTCCCTGTGCTGGGAGGCCGTCCCTCCGCCATCTCTGTCTACAGAGCGGAGACGCACGCACGGACGGCCGCCCCTGCGCCATCGCTGCGTCTAGAGCGGTGACGCATGTCTGCTTCTCACGTGTCCAGCCCCTCGTCAGCGGCAGCACACCAAATGCAAGAGCCACACAAGTTTTCCACAAAGGCGTCTGCCCAGTCCCGGGAAGGACCAAGATCAGACACGCCCTCAGACCAGGGGCCTCAGTTAGCGATCTTCTCCCCTGGTCTCCAGGGCTGTGGCTGAAAATACACAACCTGGAGGTATTTCAGGACAAAAGCCAAAAGATGAAAATGACACAGCAGCAGCCCGTGCAGAGCATGTGCTGACAGCAAGCGGCCGTGGACGGCACTCTGCCTCGACCTCCCGGGTCACATGGGGTGACCAGAGCTGCTGCAACCCCATCGGTGCGGCCTGTGGGTGACAGGGCCACTTTCACTGTCCCACACACTGCTGAATGAGGGTCATGCCCCAGAGGCTTTAGGCTAAACTGTCCCCATAACCGTTTCTGGTGCATCACAAACACTTGCTTTCTGAGAACAGAAGACCAGTGAAGCATCTTCTCACAAATGGGCTGTGAACAAGGCTAAGAGTGAGCTCAGCACTTCTGCCTGGTTTGAAGTCCTTCACTGCCAGGGAACTCACTCAAAGAGCAGGTGAAACCCACGTCTGGCTCAAACGTGAACTTCGCATCCTACGCTGCTGATCCCATTTCAAAGGGAATGTCAGAAAGGGACATGGGACGACAGCCTTCTTTTAGGTAAAACAAACAGAAACATTTACAAGCGCCCAGCAGTAGCATAACGATGTTTAAATGCATCATTTACTTCAGCCGTGTCTGAACCTGGACTTGATGTTCTTCCCACTCGCCTGGACCCACATGAACTCGCCTGCCAAAGGCCCGAGTCTGTGTGCTTTACCCATGGCTCAGGCTCGTCTCGGAGAAGCCCCAGGAGGCCAGGCAAGCCCACTGGGCACAGTGTAGGATAAGCAACTTCCCATTCTAACCTGTAGGAAGCCTCCACGTGGGACCAGGCACATTCCCGCCAAGCAGCCACTCTACTCACCCTGCAGCTGGCGGCCCTTGTACAGGTCCCTCGCTTTGGCTGGGTGGGCCCTGGCTGTGTTGTCACATTTGGGCTGTTCGTACCTGCAAGGAGGGGTGTGGGGTGGGGGGAAGAGAGAGAACATCCGGACTGAGACTTTGTGGCTGTAGCGTGGCTCGTGGCACACCCAGGTCCTCGTTCCCTATCACAGCACCTGGGACTCACAACTTTTGTTTACTATTGAGGGGACATAACACCAGGAGCCAACTGGACACAGCCAACGAGAAGAAGCATACAGTGACTGCGGCATGTGCACTCTCTCTGCTCGGCTGCTCGAACAAACCTCCGGCACGTCCCACCTCCGTCCACTGCACGGTGTTATGAACAGTGAGTGCTCTACTCCGCTGGATCGGGGCTAATGCAGGGGCGGGACGCACGAAAGTGCTCTGTGGGCACCCCGATGTGGCAGATGCACCCCCAGCTGCCCCCGCAGAGGAGGGCCTTGGAAGAACCTCAGTGCTCAGATCTCACCCCACTCACAAACCACCTCTCACCCAACTCAAGAAGCTCTGCAATTCTGTCTCATGGTTCAAAAGATAAACACCACTTTCTGGCCCCGGGTCGAGTTGACAGGAAGTGCAGAAAGTCGTGACCCTGTGGCCTCTGGGGAACGTCTGCCCTGGGGACCACTCTGCTGTGAGGCCAATGGTGTGATTCCGCTGAGTGGGTGAGAGACTCCACGTGCCTCCGTGTGGTCACTCAGCGTCTCCCAGGGCAGCTCCCCGGGCCCGAGTCTGAGCACCATGTTCCAGCATTCAGGACCCTGACCCCCCTCATGAGGACTCGCCCAGCCAAGCGGCTGGCCAGACCACGACACACAGCCTGGGCTGCCGCTGAGTGTCTGCCCCCAGAGCTCGGACGCAAGGGGCCCACCACCAGTGGATCCTGCTCCCATCCTCAAATCCATCGCCTCTCCTGAGCCGAGCTCTTCACAGGCCAGTCCCCGGTGGACCTGCCTGTGGGAAAGCTATGAAGAAAAGGCCTTTCCTGGGAGCTGTGGGCTTCCCAGATAGTGCATTTGACTTAAGACTCCCCGGTGGCCTTGCTGAACTTCCTGCTGAATTGAGACACTTCCCCACCACCCATCTGTCAGCAGGTCTTACTCACACCAGCAGTGTCACCCATGGTGGACATGTTTCAGCAGAGCTTCCAGACTAAGACAGATGAAGAAAGATGTGGATATCTAACCACAGATATCAGCCAGTGAAAACCCTAGCCAGCAGGATACCATCTGACAGAGCACTGGAGGATGAGCCCAAGCCGGAAAGCAGACACACAAAGAGGACCCAACAGTGGACTCCAGCACCAACCGTCATGAAGACGGCCTAAGACCAGGCAACATGGCGTTCCAACTCAATGGCAATGGACAGCAACTAACAAGAGGATGCTTCTCCCTACCTTCTTCCTTCCATCTTTCCTTGCCTCAGAGTCTGATCCCACTGTGGTCTAAGGTCCCTCCCACCACCACCCGTTTCTCTTTCCAAGCTCTCTTCTGATGCATCTCTTCACAATGAATCCTGCCATCTTGGTGTCGGCTGCTTGAGGGTCCTGGGGTAGCACACTGTGGCAGGAGCTATTTCAGTGGAAGCTTCGAATCCCACACAGGCTCACCCAGGATGCACTCAATCTCGTCTGGAGAGATCAGGAACGTGTGGATGGCAAGTAGGATCAGTGAAGACAGAGGTGCTAGTCCAGATCCTGCCCAATGTCAGGAAATGAGCAGAACTGCTCCCCAAAAGGGGTTCAAGACCATACTGACTTGACAGGTTTCTGTCAAGACTCTACTTCTGTATTAGCTTTTTTGTCTAACCACAGAAAATGAACGACAGCTGAACCAGGGTCACTTCTCAGTGTTCTGCTGGCCTCCATAGTGCTCCGATCAGCCCTCGGGGGAGCGAAATCCTCGTAAGAGACAGTAACCATGCCCTCTCTTCCCCTCACACCCTGAACAGCCTTTTCTTTTTTCAAACATTTTTTTCATTTTCATTTTGGTGTAAATGGACATGGAACAGGTACACCCCACTCGGAGTTTCTACCTGTGCAGTTCCATGACCTTGGCTACCTTCTTCACATTGTGTCGCCCTTCTTGCTGTCTCTCTGGTACCATTTCACCACCACTGGCTTAGACTAACTACGTCCTAAACTTCTCACCTGCACTTTATAGTTACTGTTGACAACCTGATCTCAGGTGGGTAAGTCCTTAAATGATCTCAGTGAGCATAGCGAATGTTCATTACTGATTTTATAGTTTACAGTTGTCTAAAGACAACTTCAGTGGGTAACTTCTGTCCTCGATTTGAAGATCTCCTCAGAGCAACAGATTATGGGGTGCCCCAGTCTCATTAGGTTTAATAAGTCTGGATTCTGTAAGAATTTGAAATCCAGTTCCATGTTTCTTCCCTTTTTCATCAGGATCCATCTACTGATTCCATGACAAAAATTCTTAGTCACGTTAGTGGGGTGCCATCCAGCTCTTCTGGTCTGATGGCTGAGGCAGTAGCTGAAGCTCCTCTTTCATACCAGAAAACCCCATCTACACAAACCTGTGATGTCTTTTTTTTTTTTTTTTTCAGTCCCTGACACACTCAAGCAAGCAGCTAACCTATCAACGTTGACCAAAGCCATGAGCTTGCGTTCTCCTAAAAGCAGTAGTGTCTGAAGCAGAAGACTTGGGGAATGTGGACACTGCTGGAGGGGCCCGTTTCTGATCCAACAGAGATCCTGACAGGTCAATAGGGAGGTGGTGTGTTCACTGAGAGAAGGCAAGCCAAAGAGGCCAGTTTACCAATGATTGGCCTACAAAGCTCCTATGTGTGGACTTCTCCTTGTTGAAGCTGTAAAGGTATCCACCTTCTTGGCATTGAGGAATCCATGTCACACTGTAGTTAGATCTGTGTCCATGGATTGGCACCTGTGTGAGCTCTGATACTTTCCTAGGAAAGGGCCCACAGGCTACCAAGTCACAGGCCAGTGGGAAGAACTGACGATAGATCCCAAACCAAAAAAAAAAAAAAAAAAAAAGCCAAACTTGGCATTTGCATAGAGGGAAAGCGGGATAGACAGGAATGCATAGATCAGAAGGGCACAGGGAACGGGTGGTCACAGGGAGAGGAGGTTTTTATCGTCAGAGTTGTAATCAGGACCATGAAATCAAATGTACATGAACTGTTGAGACTAAAATGAATCTGCTTTGTAAATCTGCACCCAAATCACAATAAAAAAAATTAAAAAAAGAAAAAGACAAAAAGAAACCATTCACTGCCATCGAGTTGATTCCAATTCTTAGTGACTCCACTGGGTTTCCGAGGCTTTAAACCTTCATGGAAGTAGATCACCCCATTTTCCTTCTGCAGAGCGGCTGGTGGATGTGAACCATTGACCTTCTGGTTAGCACCCAAGTGCCTTGTCCACTTGACTACCAGAGGTCCTTAATGAAGGATCCCAGTGGAGGCCAAATGCCCCTCCAGCCTACAGGGTGTCTGGGTCTGGTGAGTGGCACAGCATCAGCTGAGGGCTATGGCCAGCAGGCAGCATCGGGAAGTTAACTGTTCATGTGACCTTAGCATGGCACCACCTCAACATGCTTTGGGACCCAGTGCCGAGTCACTCCTGCAGGTGACAAAACAGCATGTTTTCCCTAATGGCCATGTGGAATCTTCCAGTTCAGCCCCTAGGAATCTGACAGGAGGGAGATTCTGGTTGCCTAGCAATCTCAGGGGATGGGGATGTCTTTAGAATCCTTGTGTCCATGGGAACATACACATTTGAGCCAGTGTCCTGCAGCTGCTTTAAAGAACTGCATGGAGTGGCTGCAGCTGGCTGCAATGCCCCCTCAAGAAGCAGCACAAAGGCCTTGAAGCCTAGAACTTAACCAAACAATCCAAATCCACTCAGCCGTTCATCCCCATCCTACCCAGCAGTGTTTAACTCCTTGGCATGTTGCTGATGGTGCTGCTTGCCGTGGAGCTGACTCGAGTCAGGGTGACCATGTGCGTAACAGAATGAAACCCTGCCCAGTCCTGCACCCTCTCCCAAAAGGACCATCTCTTGCCACTCTAGTCCACCTGGGACTAGTCCACCTGGTGAGGGCAGCATAGATGCCAGGTGTGCACTTCCAGGGAGAGTGTGGGCCTTGAAGTGAGGGGAGGAAGCTGCCCTCACAGCCAGGTGAGAGAGCCCAAGGTGTGACCAACCAACACAGGTGCACAAACCCTCCAACCACCCTCAAGATCGACGGGGAAGCTCTCCTGGGCATGAATGCAGCCACGCTATTCCACTGCTGATCAGCTGACCAGGAACCTGTCCCTCCCCTCCCCCAGACCACCACCAGCAGGACAAGACTCTGCCATCAGGGTATGGACATCTGGCAGAGGTGTCACGGTGCCACCAAAGTGCAGGAGTGCTCCAGGCACTGCAGACCTTCTCTCATAAAGGTCAATCCCGTGAGCAGTTCTGAGTCGGAGGCCAGCAGCTCCCAGCCTCCAGGGGCAGAATGCTGTGGGTTATCATACCAGACAGGCATCTGCACAGAACCCATACTTCCAAGCACCTTGCCGGGAGCCCTGAAGGCACGGTGGACAAGCACTCAGCTGCTAACCGACAGGTTGGTTGTTCTAACCTAGCAGCTGCTCCAGGAGAAAAAGATGTGGTGGTCTGCTTCCTGAAAGATTACAATCCATGGAACCCTATGGGGAAGTTCTACTCCATCTTCTAGGATCCCTGTGAGTCAGGATCAACTGGACGGCAGTGGGTTCACTTTCTTCATCACCTGCCTGGTGATGGAAGGGAAGGGGAGCAGGCTTACAAAGGGCAACAGGTCTTAGGATCACAGCTTTCTCTGTGGGAGTGTGTTCTCTTCTTTCTCAACAGCAAACAGAGAGGATGACAGGAAACCAACGTGTGCACCGTCCACTGACGGGTGAGTCAAGTCTACCCAGCCTCTCCCCGTGGCCCTCTCAGAAAATCACTAAGGAGCATCGTTAATGCCACTGAGAGTGCCTTTGGAGAGGCACGCTGAGGGCACTGGAAGAACTGGCACGAGGCA